AATTTATTTTATTTTGTATAATTTCGGTTTCTTTGATTGTATTGTTGATACATACATCAGCATATATATACTTTCAATGTGTTCGTTTTCTCTAACAGACATCTTTATAAGAGCACACATTTTTCTGTTTAAAGAATAAAATCAGAAAGTAACAAATTTTATATTTTCATTAAATGTTCATCTTTTATGGAGCACAAGGAGGAGAGTGCTCACTATAAACTTATTTCGTATTGCACACAACTTCGCGAACTAACATTACACGAATTAGAGTGGACCCATTTCCATCTTTTATACTAGTTTAAAGTACACGAGTTGTACATGCTGATACGTTTTTTTAGAATATATCTTTTAGTCTTTGAAGAACATGACTATGAATATTGATGATTATCGTCTAAAAAAGCAAGTTTTTCCTTTCTCGACTTCCAAAAACTTCTTTTGCTTGTGTCGAAAACTTGCTTTTTTAGACGAGAATTTTATTACTAAGAAAGTTTTAAAATGATCTGCCGAAAAGTGAGTGACTCACTTTTATTTTAAAACTGGCAGATTATTTTAAAACTTTTTCTAAAAACAAATATTGCAATGAGACTCAGCATGACCGAGTATCAATAATCCATCCGTTTTCAGCCCTGGAACTCTAAAAACCTCCAGCACAATGCAGAATCACTGGCGCTAATTGGCGCTATGGTCAATGGTAGAGCACACATAAAGGAATATTTGGCGAAAGGTTGACCTCGATTGGGCTTTAGCTGTTTGTACTGTTTACAAAATCCAGAATAATACATTTTGATACTCAATTTCAGACTAGTAGATTTTTTTCTGTAGCAAGTTGAGTTCAATCTAAACGATCTTTTCATTAAAATGGAGCTCATAGATGAATAATTGTTTTCAGCTAGTTTTTCAAGTTAAACTATTCCAATAAGTTGGCCAAAAATTAACTTTATCTGAGGAGAGCGATTTTTGAACAAATTTCTTAGTATGTGTTTTTCCAACGTTTAATGTAATTTCTGAAAATGCTATTTCAGGACAAGGTAGATCAAAGACAGAAGTAATTATTCTAATGCTTAAACTCTGAAAAATAACATTTTCGTTTTATGTCCGCTAGGTTGCACACTGTGGCGTCACTCTTTTTCGAAGAAAAGAAAGCGTAACAAAAATAATTACATGAAGTTGAGAATAAGAATGAGTAAAAGACAACAAAAACTCCAACTCCAATTTTTCTGAAGCCAACTTCAAATCCAATTCCACTTCAAAATCGCCCAAGTTGGAGTTGCCCAACCCCGATGACGTTTGACCTTTTTGACGTCGTTTTGAAGGGATGAAAAAGTTTTGATCCTTCTTCTATTTTATGCTACACAAAGACACTCCCTTGTGTGCTCTTAAACAAAAAAACTGTGGCTAACAAAACAGATATTGGTTTTGACATTTGTTTCTATTAGAAATCGATATCTGCTTTGTAAACTACATATTCTTTTTTTTGAGAGGAGAATATGACATGACGATAACTTCTCGTTTAACAAACTTAGTCATAATCAGGCAATATATAAGAGGATTGGCTTGTATACATTGTGTAATAAATGATGTTTATTAGTGTACTTGGTTTACTATATCAAATGTTCGTTTACTGTGATTAATAGCAAATTCAATACCTAAATTAACCTTCTTGATCCAAGATTTTCGACAAAAATCTGTTACTTCAATCATACTTTGCAAAGCACAATCAGACAATGATAAACTTGACGATGATTCATATTCAAAAATAAGTTTATTACGTATTTTATCGTCAGAACGTAAAAGAAATTGATAATCAATTTCTTTTTTTTCTTTAGGTAATAATAATTTCATTTCTTTTATGTCTGGTAATATAGATTGTCGACCATGACCACCACCATGATACTTTTTTCCTGGCTTTTTGTTATATGACATTGTTGTTGTACTCTTGTTCATTTCAAACATTTGCTCATTTTTCATGATCATTCTTTTCCTTGGATGGTTCTTTTTCTCTTCCATATCTAATTTACGTTTATTTTTTTCAGCAATTAAGCTGGCAATATTTGGATCAATTGGTTTTTTTACAGCCGCAGTACTTATACGTTGTGTATGCCAAACATTTTCAAGACGTTTGACGTTTGCCCATTCGTTTCCACTCAAATGTCTCAATGTACGACCATCTTTATCTGGTTTATACATCATTTCTTTGATAAGACGAAAACGATCAGTGAAAAAACGTATTTTGATAGGTATATATGCGGATGGTGCTGAGGATCGTGCCGATTGTATCCCACTACTTAGCCGACTTCGTTGTTGACGAAGTGATAAAGGTGATGGTAATGTTAAATGAGAGAATTTCTATACATTCAAAAAAGGAAATAGTTCAAATATACGATAAGAAAAAATTACCTGTTGTTTTTGTCTGTTGGATCGTATTGTACTCTCAGGACGAGCTTCATTAATATCTGTTATTGTATTATCATCTGGAGACGCTTCAGTTCGTTCACTTGTACCATCACTTATTAATCCCGATTCTATTAGACTTATGGCATTTCGAAGCAAAAATGTTTCTAATTTATAGATACCAGTAACTTTATTCCAAAGTTTTTTACCACCGGTTTTATTTGCTAAGGCAACATTTGCATCACCACCTTGTCCTCTAGACAATTGTTGATTGGCAACTTTAGCTTGTAAAGTAGTTAGAACATTGAAACTAAATATAAAAAAACTAAAACATATATAAGCATGAAGTACTACATATACCTTTTCAATTGATTTTCCATTTGTCTAGCTTTAAATTTTTCTCTATCATCTATAAAGTAGACAGTGCGTGCTTTTTCTTTTGCATATTCGGCTGTTGAATAAAAATCACAAAAATCATTATTAAATCCGTCAATTAATAACTTATAACCCAGTAAACCACCCGCATTAATCGGTCTCTTTTTTAATGAACTATATTGTGGTCCCAATTTTAGATAACATTTTTCTCTCGCACGATCAGCCCATGCTTTTAATGCATACATTTGTCTATTTAATATTATTACATTTTTTGATATTTTAACACCACCAAAATTTTTTGTTAATATAAATAATGCTACTTCACGATATTTTGCTTGTTGTACATTATCTGTACTTTTTTGTCGTAATGCTAGACGCCATGGTGGCACTCCATAACCATCAGGTTTTTGTAGAACAGTTAATTGTGTACCAAAGAGTAAAATAATACCAACTTGAGCACTTTCAATGGCTTCATGAACAGGACCTAAATGAAAATGACTGTATGTTTCATAATTTTATTTAAGATATATAGAGTACAAACATCGAAAATAATCTGGATGATTGGATAATGATGCACACCATTGTCGAGATGGATGATGTCCAACGGGTCTGTCCGCTCTTGCACCACTATTTATCAATGCTCGAGCCTTAAATTAGATAAATAAAAGACTGTCAAAGCTAAATAAGTAACTATACTGATCTACCAAATCTACATTGCCATAATGAGCAGCTATATACAATGCTACTTGAAGCATATACTGTTTAACGAGTTCATCTTGACTCAATAATTTTAATACCGCTTTTGTATAGCCTAAATTATAATTTAAAATCTTCATAACAGTATTCGTTAACTTATTCTACCTTTAACAGCATAATTGAAAAAATCACTCCATCCAATCCATGTTTGAATGATAAGTGTTGAACGTGGTTCAATATCGTAACTTGATAATGTAAATTGATCAAATAATTCATTATTATTTTCTATTATTAAACGAAATGCCGATAATGGTAAACCTGTTTTTCTACTCGCTAGAATACGCATTTCAATTATTTTTGTATCAATTGGATGTAATTTTTCATCAAAAACATCATATCTTTCACCACGTATTGGTAAAAAGAAACGATAATCAGGTATCTAATAAATATATAGAAGTAGAACAAGTATAAAGATAAAAAAAGAATAATTAAAAGGAAGTCTATATATACTTTTTCTTCTTGTATAGCACATTTCACAGTTGAACCAAAAATAATACCAATATCTTGAAGATACCATTCTCGTTTTAATGTTGTATTATTATATAATAATACTAAATGTCTATTTGTTTTTTCACTACAATTTGCTTCAAAATGAAAACGATGCTCTAACCATGTCAGCAGATCAGACACACGTGCACCTTGTTTACCATTATAAATAACTCTCGCATCAGTTGGAATAAAATGAATAAGAAAATACATTTTCCGATATGAAAAGATGCTATTATAATTATGTATGTGTACAATCAAATGAAAAAAAGTACTATACTTCTTTTAATATAGAAATAAATTGAGAAAATTTAAATGCAAAAAATATGTAAATCATTTTTTATTATATTTTACTTCTTAAAGCTTCTCTATCACGCATAATTTGGTCATGAAACATCTATTATGTGCTTATTGATATAAACTTGCATAAGAAACTATATTTATGAAAATAAAATGAACGCTGATAAAACACATTGATTTCTTTAAAGTAGCTAAATTTGGATACCAGTGCATGTCTAATTATCGCAAAACTTTACATTTATTTTGAAATTATAATTACCCGTTATAAAAAACAACAGGCGATCGTCTGTTGATAATCGTATTCTTAGATTAATTAAAGCGTGGACCCTAAGTCCTGAAGCCGATGGGCCTTAGTATCATACAGACCAGTTAAACAGCAGTGAGACATTACTAAACACACATGAGAACTCAACCTACCAAACCTAGAGATTTAGTCGTATATGTTGACTACAAACATGACAGTCAGATCAGTTCAGAAAATTGTTTATTCTACAAGATGTGATGGTTACTTAAGTTTCAAACCATTCGAATTAATCTGTATTAATGAGAGGCTGGCAAATAGTAACTCCTTAGATGTTTGACAAACGTCACGTACTGTCAACTGCGCCTTAGTTGTTGCTTATGATGCTTGCTGTGTCTGACTACTGATCAGGAATTCGACTTCTGTCGGGCAGCTAACGATCGGCTGAGTCGTCATGTCTGTAGATTGTCATCTCTGAGAAGAGTAAGGTTGGGTTCAGAGCCCAGCAGGTTGATCCTAACCTAACCTAACCTACCTAACCTATAGGTTAGGTTAGGATTAGGTTGCAAAAGTTATAGGCTAGGTTAGGTTATAGGTTGTTCTATTTTTTTTTTCAATGGTTAGGTTAGGATTAGGTTGTGAAATTTTTTATAGGTTAGGTTATAGGTTGCCAAATATTGGCAACCTGCAGGGCTCTGGTTGGGTTGTCATGTCTGTAGGCAACATATATAACTAAATCTCTGGGTCCGATTAGGTTGAGTTGTCATTTGTGTCTTGCAGTGCCTCCCTTCAACAAAGAATCACCGTGTATAACGCACACAACTCTTCAGTATAAAATATGAAAACATTTATTTTTGTAAGTCTTATTCTAAAATGGTACAACATGTACATGCCGGCTAAGCAGCGTCATCAATAGAATAACTAGCTGTTTCACCTTTTTTTACCTACTGTTGACAACAAATTTCATTAATGGATTATTCTCAAAATTGATTAGAGGTAAAATATTTTGATTTGGTTTAATATATTCTTTTTTATACTTTTCTTGAAATAGCTCAAGAAATAATTCGTTTTTCACTTTCGTACCAACATTTGATATTAAATTATACAGCGTTAGTAATTTTAAAAATGAAGATAAAAATTAGCTACCACATATAACTGAATAAAGAAGGTTTTCTCAAGAATAATATACCACATTCGGTGAAAAATCTCTTTCTCCTCTAATGCTTTTGTTTGATCCTAAACACTTTGTGCATAACGCTAATGCATTCATAGACGGTCTACTCGTTCAACTTCATCAGAAAAATAGCTTAACGTCTTTATATAAACTCTGTAAAATATGTTAAATTCGGATACTTCTCATACAGTTCACATAACTGCATTTCCCATTTTTGTATTAATTCTTTTGCTTTGAGATAGAGATTCTGTAACTTTTCAAAATTACAGTTTTCTAGTGTAAACTGGTTTTATTCGTGTGTGGAACTAATAAATTCAAGAACAAATGGAAGACCGTTGATATATAAAAGTTGCAAAACATCCAACATCTTCTCAGCCGTATCAATAAGTTGTATAAATGCTTTTTCATTGCTATCATCTTCATTTTGTTGCTTTATTACTTTTTTGTGTTGAACTGTTCAATGTTTCATTACTCTTGTCCGATCACGTAATTCACTTACATCATTAAAGGATAAACATTTATTATTAAACTTTAATGATAGTTTATATCGAAAAAGTGGTTTTTATCTGATAGTTTTATAAATTCAAAATCTGAATATTTAATAATATTAACTATAATTTGTCGTGTGGATTCTGCTTTATTTGTTAATTCTAAATGAAGTTGTTGAATATCGTTTAATGCTATTGTACAAGATTCAAAACAATCACTTATATTTTGATTTTCATTGTGAAATCCCACCAACACATTATTCATACAATAAACGATATTACAGAACGTTTTTTATTTGCTTCGATATGTTCAACTTTTGAATGAAGACATAATAGATAATCTCTCACTTCATCAAATTCAAAGACAACTTTTAGAAAAAAAACATAACATAATAATCATACACGTCTGAAATTAAATTTGCAATGTCATGTTTCGTCAATCGACTAAGAAACTTTACAAGTTCTAGTAGCTGACTAATTCGAGTTCGAATATAACTACGATTTTACGAACAGAATAGTATGAAACTTTCACAGATCCAAAGCTTTTAAACAGCGATGCAATTCGAATTGCGATGCATCATAGTTCGAATTGGGATAGACACGTTACTGTAAAAGTTTGGAAAAGAAATTTTTCATCAGAATTCGAATTTGAACTGGGATTCTGCAAGATATCGAATTTAAATTCTTGTTCAACTGAATTTCGGACCGAATGTGTCTTAGTGGATCACTCTCAGCCACCCGACTCCCCTCCCCCACGCACTTGACGTTGTATGAAAATGTTATTTTTGTTTATTGAGCAAATATCGATTGAATATGTGTCTAGTGGTAGTGAAGTCATTGATAAGGATTCATAGCAAGTGCCTCTTCAGTACATATTTGATTATTTATTTAGTTTTCTTCTATTTAAGACGTGTTTTTTAGAACTATATTTAACTAGATTCTGCCTTGAGCTTCATCCAGGTATGTTATGAATATTGTGAGAAACTATAATTCGATCAATTTTCGATCCAGAACCTTCGTAAAGTATCCACATAAAAGATTACCCTACAGAACATACATCACCCCAGCAGAGTCTAGTTAAATTTCTAAAATCTGGTTTAATCAAAACACCATCACTGCTGACACCATTAGAATTTAGGGTACAAATGTTTGCTGAATTGTGGTGAAACACTAGAATTCTAGTTCCGTTAGAACTCAGTTGAACACTGTACATATTTGGATAGAGCAACTATTTTCACCAATAACTGTTTAGTTTCAAGTTTTTGAATGACTCTTTCTTGGTGAAAACCTACAAACTATCAATTGGACTGACCTTAACCAATCTTCAGTTTTGGGCGTTCGACTCCACGAAATGTTTACTTTTTCTAACTTTAGATCCCATAATCGTGATCAGCACAAAATTCTGAGTCAGAGAAGGTGTGTTTCGAAAATTTTAGAGGAAAACATTTTTTCGATGTTCCAAGGTGGGACCTTTGCCCTTAAATTTTTCGATAAAAATCAAAATGCGATTTTTGGAAAAGTGAGACGGCTAAAATACTCGGAATTTTACGCTGATTCCGAATATGTAAGTTTCATTGAGTTTTATTGGGGTGCTCGACACTCGCTTATCCTCCCCCGTCCTTTAAGTAGTTGATAAGTGCTACGACGCATTCCTTCGGAACGAACGCTTTCGTTCCACCCTATAATGAATTATAATTGGAAACGATAGCCATAAATCCAGCGTTGCATCGTTTGTGGTCAGTATCATCATCGTCACGATGAACAGTGCATGTGTAACAGATAAATTTTGTGATGTATTCGATTCCAGAACATATTTGTAATGGTCTATACAATAATATTTACATTTGTTTCTATCTATAGCTTTGGAAGAAAAGAACAACAAGTAGATAAGCTTATAAACAGAACAGATATGCTTACTCGACAAGTTTTTCAAAAAACTAGAAAATGAATAGAGTGGTGCACGTGGACAATCCATAGCCACAGCACTCATTTCCGGTATAGACTCGTCACATGATGCAGTGTATGCACATACTAGACGGTGTGCTTTCATATGTGTGTCGAAGACAAAATTGAGCATACATTGATCGTTTGCTTGACACTGGCAGCCTTGAACTTGTCCAGGACCGGAATTTTATGAAAGTTTCATAAAAAAATCTACTGTTGGCTTCATAGTACAGATCATGTGATGCACGTTGAATAATATCGGAAATTTTAATATTTTCAGAATTTGTCATGAAAAGCAGAAATCGACAGATCTCAAACCATATCTATGTCTGCAAAAGAAGTGTTAAAAAATGAGAAATAAAAATCTATTCATTAACATTTACGTACTGTTGTAAGGTATTTTGAACAGAGTTTACTGTTGATAGGGGCTCCCTTATTAAAATTTCGATTTTGATCGATGTTTACGCTAGTTGCTTTCGTGTACGATTGAAAATTCGATGCCGCTTCATTAACAAGATTTGTGAGTAATATAAGCAATGCACGTTCATAGATAAGATGATCAAACAAATAAATAAATTCTTGTTTAAAAATTGCATCAGGTGCCACAAATCGTTCAAATGTTCGCCGATTGCTTGCATGTCCGTATTTATAAATGAAATCACAGCACTCATGTTTATATAGCAGGCACTGATAAACATTATCACGTCTAATGATAGTATTAATCTCATCGAACTTTGGTTCTCCCAATCGATTATGGTACGTCAAACATGTCTTAAATATAAAGTATAATACTGCTATGAAATCATAATAAAATTCTCCTGAATTTATTTAAACACTCGAGCTTTCGATCACAACTTAGATCATTTTCAAGAGTCTGCTGACACATTCAACTGGAGGGAAGAGTATGAAATAAAAAAGGAAACATGTCTTTATTAATGGAATCAGTTGATGGATTCGGAAACGATGGGGTTGAAGCTCGTGCCTATTTTGTAGTTTTTCTATTGCTAACTGCAGACGTTCATGCTCATTGGTTAATAGCACTGGTTCGGCTAATTCTGGTATGCGA